CATTCCTGAGCAAGCTCTGCACTGCTGCTGACACGATTCCGCAGCTGACTTCTCAGGAGGAGACGGTCCTGGCGCTTGCTGGACACTCTGGGACATCCTGAAGACTTCTATACTGCAGTCGAACCTCTCTCTTTGAAGTTCTTGATGATCCGGTAAATGGTTCTTTCAGGTGCAATATTCTTTGTAGCAATTTCCTTGCATGTGAGGCCATTTTGATGCAAAGCGATGATGGCTGCACGTGTTTCTTTGGAGGCAGCCATTGCTAACAAGAACACAATGATTGGAAGCGCTTCTTCCCTCCTTTTATAGAAATCAGTCTGCTCTTACAATCTAATTAGTATGATAGTGATTTCTCCTGACTAGTACTCATTCACACTTTCACATGTGCTGCTGAAGTGATTAATCAATTAATGTTAGCTGGTCATTTTGTGTCAGGATCAAAAAAACAGTGAAATATGTTTTTTTTTTGCGAAAAGTTCTTTTTTTTTTGGCCAATGAAGCTTTTAGCAATTATTTAAAATGCATCTGATCACTCTACACGATAATCTAGAAGCAATGTGAATAAACACCACAACCGCTCAAGCAGCAAACTTTGCAAAACACAAAACTGATGTCACTGCCAAAACTTTTGGCCACGCAAACACAAAATTTATGTCACTGCCAAAACGTTTGGCCACGACTGTAACGTTAGTGATATGGCAAATGTCAGATCACCTCATTTTGAACAAATTTGCCTCAAGAACCAGCTGTCAATCAAATCGCGTTTAATTGTTTGAGATTATTAAACAAACAATTTAAGTGAACTACCTGGATTTGTTTCCCCTATCAACCTCGACACAAAAATGTTCAACTTTATTATTGATTGCTATAACAGGGTCATTTAGAATAGGTGTGACCAAGTTTAAACAAAAGCCAACAATTCCTAAGCGAATAAACCAATTTCCAACCAATCAGAAATTGTAACTTGCAACATGATTCTAAGGCTACATGCAAAATTTTATGGAGATCGGGCAATAGCTAGGTGGGGCTATATAACCCCATATATTATATGTTATTAAATAATATATATTTTGATGGTAAATTAGCTTAAATTGTCTTTTTTTAATCTAGACTGTTACAGTCTAGTAGTTTAATAACGCGTAAGATTTTAACGCATGCGCAAAAGCCTGAAAAGACGCCATACTGAATTTGATTATTGCCTAAGCAATAGGCTATTTATATAATTACTACTAATAATAGGCCTATAACATACATTGTTGTACTATTATTAGTATTATTTATATTGCAATACTGTCATTAAATAGACGATCTTATATATTCTTAACTATTATCAAATTGTCAACTAAAGCAGACACAAACTAATTGCTTTGACACATCAGCAGTCTGACACTCGGAGGCATGTTATGTCTATTATTACCGGTAGAGGGCATACAGTGTTAAACCATCGGTGAGTGGCGTTGATATACGTGCACTCATGTGACCCCGGCGCCGGTTAAAAGCACCGGCGAGCATCCACGAGCACAGCGGGCGACCTGAGCGACAGCGCGGGTGTGAGAATGTCTCTGTACCGGAACTCAGCATGGTTCCTCAAAGGACTCACCGAATTCACCAAGTAAGAGCTGCACTGCTTCAGAAATATCACAACACCTTATTACAGCATTAACAAACATAATGCTTTAATAATGCACATTGAAATATATAATAAATAATATAATATATGTTGCATAAAGGATCATGCAATAGCCTATTTAACGTAATATTTAACATCAATAATTATAATGTTAAATATTGCATGGGTCAGATTACTACATCTACTACATCTGTTTCTCTCACATTTTTAAAGCATTTTTTTGTACATTAAAATATTAATTGTGCATTTATTAGTTTGTACTCATTTATAGGAGTTTGATTAAAGATTATGTGTGATGGGGGCTGAAACACAAGTAACAAATGGTTCTGACCTTAAATTTTAATTTTAATTGATCAAAATATTTACAAATGTCCAGCATTTGTCTGCAGGCCTACTTGGATTTTTACTCCCATGTAGAAATATTTAAATGTAGTAACTAACCCTGATATGATTGAAGAATTATTAAATTATAAAAAAAAAAAAATGTTAACTTAAAAACAAGGAACAATTTGTTTTTCTTCAAAAATATGCATTACAAAAGTGTTGCACATCATAAACACAATGACAACATAAATTATGGTAAGGGTCAAAGGTGATCACTCATGCTTAAAATTGAAGAATTATTAAATTATAAAAAAAAAAATTTTTTAACTTAAAAACAAGGAACATAATTTGTTTTTCTTCAAAAATATGCATTACAAAAGTGTTGCACATCATAAACACAATGACAACATAAATTATGGTAAGGGTCAAAGGTGATCACTCATGCTTAAAAAGTCAGTTTCTAACATCTGCAAAACTAGTATATTTAGGCTATTTATTTTTTCTGAGCTCAGTGGCAACACACTAACGCTTGTGGCTTTTTGTTTTCCAAAAAATTCAATTTCATATACATTCTTATAAATTATTGGGAGTCAGAAAAACACTCAAACGGTCTCAGCTCACGTCTGTTGTTTATCCTTCAGTGGTTTCTGCATCTGTGTTTTTTTCCTCCTAATACATTGTCACCCGGGTCGACCTCTCACGTCCCACAATAGGACACACATCACCCTTAACAGTGTATGCATTTACCGAGAACAGCTCGATTCCCCCGGCACCTCCTCGCTCCTCTCATCCCTCCGCCTGGCCTGGCACGCGTGGACAAAGCCAGTCTTTGAGATCGGGTCAAGGGCACGAGCGCCGCCGATACCAGGAGCGGTGCTATCAGAGGACGCACTGATAGTCCGCTCTCATTAGCTAAGCGATGACGCAAAGTGGCACATTAGGACAGGGCATCTTGAGTGGTTTTGCTTCAGGACGTTAAGTGGCGAACGAATACAGAACCTAATTTTGTATCCTACAAAAATCAACACTGAAACACATTCCCAGCTAACAGGAAATGTTCTCAGAAAATCATTAATCTAACATTTCTAAAATGACGCTTCTTGTTACTTTGGAATATTCTCAGAACATCTGGAAACATTTCCATGTTTTCAAAATGCTAAAATGGAATGTTTCCCTTGATAGAATTTTCTCAGAACCCTAACATTCTGCCAAGGTTCTGTCGAAGGTATAAACAAACGTTCGTCCAGTAACATTAATGGTTAGTTCAAAGTTATCTGGTCTTTAATAATGTTCTCAAAATGTTAGCTCAACAACATTATCTGTGCATCATTCATGGAATGTTTTTTCAGAAATGTTTTTGCTGAATGTTCATACATTTTGAAAATGTTGCCACTTGTTTCAAAACGTTCAAATAACATTCAAAAGTAACATTAACAATGCTTTCAGAACTGCTCTACTTTTCTGCCAAAGTTATAAACAAACGTTCTTACTGTAACTTTAATAGAACATTCATTCAAAGTTATCTGGTCAAAGTTAGCCTACACTGTAAAAAAAAATCTGTGACTTTTACGGTAAAATACCGGTAGCTGTGGTTACCAGAACTTCACCGTAAAAAATATGGTAGCAACATTTTAGGTTTTACAGACTTAACTTAAATTCACAATAAAATACCGTATTTCATTAACTGATGTAATGTTAATAAACCAACATATTGAAGTACTAATATCTGTTTTGAACCATTGTAATGCACTGATAACCACCAAAAACTGGTGGTGATGAGAAAGTCATGAACCAAAGCTCATCACAAACAGCTTTTCTACGAGCTGAGGGCAATATTTATATATAGAAGGTGCACAGTGTCATTCACACAAACCCAGTGACACACATGATACTGAAATAATGCAATAAACATTCATTTAACAACATTAGATGTAAGATTAAACCATAATGTACACAACTGATAAGAAAAAACTAAGAAGAACCATGTTATTTCAACAAAACAAACATTAAATATGAAGTGTCATGCAGGGAATTCTGGGAGTGTCAGTTTACTGTTTTTCACTGTAAATTATACAATGACTTTCTTTTTCACTTCCAAAAACCGTATTTTTAACAGTATTTTACTGTAAAATTACATTAAATGTAATTACATTTATTCACCGAATATAGAATGGAAACTTACTGTTAACCAGTTAACAGGTTTTTACTGTAGCATTTTTACAATCTTTTACTGTTTAAATCACAATCATTTTTTACGGTGTACGTCGTTCATGGAATGTTTTTTTGTGAAACGTTTTAGTTGAAAATTCGTCTAAATGTTGCTACTTGTTTCAGAATGTTCAGAGAACATTCAAAAGTAACATTTCCATGTTTGTGAAATTATAAAATGGACTGTTTCCTTCGCGGAATGTTCTCAGAACTTCCCCAGTGTTCTGGGAAGGTTCTCTCAAAGTTCACTCAAAGTTATAAGCAAACGTTCTTCCAGTAACGTTAATAGAAAGTTTGTTCAAAGTTAACGGGTCTTTATTAATATTCTCAAAATGTTAGAACAAAACAATATATCGAAACATTTTAGTTGAATTATTTTTTAAATGTTGCTACTTGTTTCAGAACGTTCAAAACTAACGTTAACGTAATGTTTGCAAAATGACTGAATGTAATATTCTCAGAACTGCCCTACCATACTGGCAAGGTTCTCTCAAAGTTCACTCAAACATTCTTTCAGTAACATTAATAGAAAGTTTGTTCAAAGTTATCGGATCTTTATTAATGTTCTCAAAATGTTAGCATAACAACCTTAACTGTACATCGTTTATGGATTGTTTTTTTTCTGAAGCGTTTTAGTTGAATGCTCATCTAACATTTTTTTTAAGTGGTGCTACTTGTTTCAGAATGTTCAGAGAACATTCAGAAGTAGCATTCACATAATATTTGTAAAATGATCAAATTAAATGTTCCTTTAATGTTCACATTGCCAAGAAAAAAAATAAAATTTTTAAAACATTTTAAAAATTGATGTTTTGAATGTTTAGGGAACATTCAGAAATAATGTTTCCATAACTTGGCTAAAAGTTCTTAGAACATATTTTGTTAGCTGGGTTCTTCCATTGCCATGTCCTTCATCTTAAAATAGTTTGATGTCAAACAGTTCAAAGCATGCAAAAAGTGAACTAATTAGTTAACTGAACTATCTAGCAGTGTTTTGAGAAGTGCGTGCGAAGGTAACCCCGTGACATCTCAAGACTAATTAAATGTGTGTGTCTCAGGGGGGCATTTCTGTCAGCGTCTAAAAACTTTGTTGAGAAGGACCTAGAGACGTCAGTGGCGGGCCGATCCTTCATGATCACTGGAGCGAACAGTGGGATCGGGAAAGCCACTGCCATGGCCATCGCCAAGAAAGGTGCGTGCGTGTTGGAGAAAATCAGCAGTGGCTGGTAACTTAAACAAGTGTGTGCATTATTAGAAAATAGAAACTAACCTGGTGTTTCATGGTGTACTTATGTTCTTCAAATGTTTTCCATATGTTTGCATGAATACAGTTGCCCTCACAATTATTTGGAAATATTGGTCACACAAAAACATGTTCAAATGTCATTGCATTAGATAACAAAACCCAGAATCTGCAAACAAATGATGCTAGACCTTCACGTTTCTTCATGGTTGCTTTACTCGTGCTCTGCATTTATCTAAATTTATGCATATTATCTCATTTGATTTGTCTGCATCTATGCATTTATCTAAAGCAATGACATTCCAACATTTCTAAGCGTTTTTAAGTCTCCAAACACTTTTGGGTCGCAGTGTAACCTCTGTTGTCCCTCTTCTTCAAGGTGGTACCATCCACATGGTCTGCAGGAACAAGGACAAAGCAGAAGAAGCCAGGGCAGAGATGGTCAAGGAGTCTGGAAACAAAGTATGAGTTAATATTGGAATGACTGGGATTGTTGGCCTGCAGTTTAGTAGTTAAAGGAGCTGATTGTAACAAAGATGGCTTCCACCATTGCACCTGCAGTAAAAATGAGAAAGCAGCTGCTTAATGAAGAATAATGTAGTAGATTGCATGTTTCTATTTGTACAAAACTCCACTGAATCATTGAAATGACCCATTTATTTATACACACTGTCTGTTTCCAATGCAAGATGGTCTAGTAAAATACCTGACCTTTGGCCTCTGTGTCTGGCTGCAGGAAATCTATGTGCATATTTTGGATCTTACTGAGACCAAGAAGGTGTGGGAGTTTGCAGAGTCTTTTAAGAAAAAGTACAAAACTCTCAACGTCCTGGTGAGGCTTTAATATTGCGTATACACTATTGCTCAAACGTTTGGGGTCAGTATGATTTTTCATTCGAAATTGATGCTTTTATTCAGCAAGAACATTATATTGCTCAAAGGTGACGGTAAAGACATTTGTATTGTTACAAAAGATTTTTTTCTATTAGATTTAGATTTTATTTCAAATACTGTAAATGCAGTTCTTTTCAACTTTCTATTCATCAAAGAAAAATAAAATGTATCACAGTTTCCACAATAATATGAAGCAGCACAACTGTTTTCAACACTGATAATCAGAAATGTTTCTGAGCAGCAAATAAGAATATTAGAATGATTTCTGAAGGATCATGTGACACTGAAGACTGGAGTAATGATGCTGAAAATTCATCTTTGATCACAGAAATAAATTACATTTCAAAATATATTCAAATAGAAAACATCTATTTTAAATTGTAATAATGTTTCACAATTTTACCCTAATTTTGATCAAATAAAAGCAGCCTTGGTGAGCATGAGGGACTTTTTTTCAAATCTTACTGACCCCAGACGTGACGTTTTTTTGAATGGCATTAGCAGCCAACTGAAGGAATGATCATTTGGTTGTTTGATTGGATTGACTGTGACAGATCAATAATGCCGGCTGTATGATGACTAAGAGGGAGGTGAATGGTGAGGGTTTGGAGAAAAGCTTTGCAAGCAACTCTCTGGGTAAGTGAGCAAGCAAACAAACAAAACCAGCTCCTCAGGGCTAGAAGTCTTTTCTACTAACTTTATAATAAATAACATCTTTAATGCCTTAGCAGACTGTTTTCACCTGATGTCTCTGTTGTGTTCGTCAGCCGTGTACATCCTCATCAAGTGCCTCATTCCTCTGCTGGAGAAGAGCCCTGACCCCAGAGTGGTGAGTAAACCAGAGGCTGAGAGCGACAGACGGAGGTCAGACGGTCACCATCTCTCTCCTCTCTTTCAGATCACAGTATCATCCGGTGGGATGCTGGTGCAGAAACTGCGAACGGGAAACCTGCAGTCTCAGAGAGGCAGATATGACGGCACTATGGTGTACGCACAGAACAAGGTATATATACATACACACAGAGAGTGGAAAAAAAGCTTGTGTCCACATACTGTACAGAAAAACTATTTATGATGGCATATGCTAGTTTAATCATTTATGTTATAGAGTTCATTGTTAGATTACAGTTCCGTGAATTGTAACTACAGTTTGAACATTTTTAGGATATTCCAGTTTTACGATCAAAGTCTCTTCAAGGCTGCATTTATTTGGTTACAATTTCAGTAAAAACAGAAAAATTGTGAGATATATTTCTGAATTAAAATAGCTGATTTCTATGTGAATATATGTTAAAATGTAATTTTTTCCTGTGATCAAAGCTGAATTTTCAGCATCATTACTCCAGTCTTCAGTGTCACATGATCCTTCAGAAATCATTCTAATATTCTGATCTGCTGCTCAAGAAACATTTTGGATTATTATCAATGTTGAAAAACAGTTATGCTGCTTCTTATTTTTGTGGAAACAGTGATACATTTTTGTCAGGATTCTTTAATGAAAAGAATAGATTTTAATTGAAATGGAAAGGTCTTTACCATCACTTTTGATCAATTTAATGTACCCTTGCTGAATAAAAGTACTAATTTCTGTCCCCAAAAAATCCTACTGACCCCAAACTTTTAAACAGTAGTGTAAAATTACTGTAAAAAAATATTCAAGACTTTACTGTTTCACTGACTTCAGTAGCTGTTTATAATGTCAGTGATTCTCGTGCTATCAGAAATGACTTCTATGTACTTCTTTCTTTGTGTTTCAGAGGCAGCAGGTGGTGATGACGGAGCAGTTTGCTAAAGCTCACCCCAACATCCACTTCTCTGTGATGCACCCTGGATGGGTCGACACGCCGAGTAATTGCAAATGCAGTTTTTTTATATCATAAATTTAAACTGTGCATAGATGCATTTTCAAAAAGCTACATGGAATCTTTTTATTTAAAAAAAACTGAGGAAACTGCAAAAAATATATCACCTAAAACATGCAGTTTCCGCCAGACTTACATATTTACCTACAAGTTTGACATTGCTGATTTGTCAAATAACATTTCCAATGTTACATTTTCAATTTAATGCATTGGATAAAAGCGTCTGCCAAATGCATAAATGCAAATATTTCATTAACATTTATTCAGACTGATTTGCTTGTGTCTGATCTTGATGGTTTCATTCTTGAATCTCATTCTTTAGCCATTGCGAATGCGATGCCTGATTTCCACAGCTCTATGAAGGAGCGTTTGCGGACACCGGAGCAAGGGGCCGATACGGTCGTGTGGCTCGCTGTCTCTGAGGCGGGTGTCAAGAATCCCAGCGGGCATTTTTTTCAGGGTGAGCAAACACACCCCCACACAAGCGCACACACTGGCTGTGCTCCAAAACCTAGTGAGCCGCCTTGCTGTCCACATAGGCAGCAAATTAAACCTCATCAGTGACAGAAAGCAACTGTGTGTGCCACAAAAATGTTGAAGCACACGGGAGCCACAACAGAGCTGCATTAACATGTTGCTAAAGTATTACTCTAATTTGCATAAAAGTACATGATGCACAAATATTGAATTTTTAATATTAGATTAAGCAACATTTTAATATTTGTTTTTAGGTATTAAATTGTTCACTTTTTTGTTAAATATTAAGGCAGCATTGCACCTTTCGCAAAGACAGTGATCTCAGAATGCATTGCAATAATTTGGGTGAAACAATTAATCCAAAATTGCTTGGAAATATTCTGATTTTAGTACTTAAAATCATGAATAAAACATCTGTGTAATTAGAAATTATTATTTTACACAATATTTGTGCATGTTATGTATCTTAAGAGTATGCTATGGAAGCTTATTTTCACCATGGAAGAAAAATATAAAAGCCAATTTTATCTCAATTTAGACTGTTTTTCTCAGAATTTCAAGCTTTTTTCTTGCAATTGCAATTTATAAACTCATATTCTGAATTTACATCTTGCAGTTTTACCTTTTTTCTCAGTACATCTCACAATTCTATTTCCCCCCCAAAAAATTTCAGACTCCTGACCCAACCCCCTGAGCTGAAAATTCAGAATTGCTACATGTAAATTTAGAATTCTGAGGAAAAAAGCCAGAATTGTGAGTGAAAATCAGAATTCCAAAAAAATATCAAAATTGCAAGATGTAAACAGAATTCTGAGGAAACAAAGTGAGTAAATTAGAAATTTAGAGAGTAAAAAAAAAAAGTAAAATTAGAATTCTGAAAAAAGTCAGAATTACGAGATGTCAACATAATTCTGAAGTCAAAAAATAAGAACTGAGAGATGTAAAAATAGAATTCTTAAAAAAAGATGAACTCAGACTTCTAAAAAAAAAAAAGTCAGAATTGCAAAATGTAAACTAGCAATTATGAGAATATAACTTGCAAATGCAAGATATTAACATGCAATTCTGAGAAAATAAAGTCTGGATTGTGAGATATAAATTTGCAATTACCTTTTTTAAATATTTTTATTTCATGGCAAAAATAAGCTTCCAGAGTTTCTACATTAGCATAGCAACATGCAAAAGTCAAATAGGAATCAATTGTGAGTTGATGTTCCTGTGCCATTTATGTGTCAGTGTAGTGTTCTAAATCATTCACTTATTAGGCTCCATGTCAGTTAGGATGCTCCCTTAGAAGGCAGCGGGCAGTGAAGCAGCGCTCAAGGTTTTGGAACCGAGCTGCTGTCTTTCTCTCCATCTTCTCCAATAAGGCATCCATCTGTTTCCATATGAAACAAGTGCGCCTTTCAGGAGACAGAGAATGGATGAAAGACGCTGATGAAAGCAAGAAAGCATGAGCAGTAGAGAGAAGATGAGAGTACAATGAGTGTACAAAGAAAGATTGGACAATGAAAATGAAAGAGAGGAACGGAGGATGAAAGGAGAAGGAAAGAGCGAGAAAGATCAAGAAAGAGAAAAGAGAGTTGGCGGAGCTTCTGTACCAGACACGGCACCAAACAGACCAAACAGTCACTACTCTGACTTTAAGGCTAGACTACTGGTGAATGAGATATCACTATACTTTTATGAATCACAGTACATTAAGAACATGTTTTCTGAAATTAAAATATGCTAATGAGAAATCAGATCATTAAATATGCACTAACTTGCATATATTTCAAGAATAGAAATATGAATATTAAATAATGCAAGTTTTTTTTTTTTTTACAGAGAGAATTTTGGATTTATCTTAAGCGCTCATAAATCAGAAAATACTGTCAACAGCCAGTAAAATAAAAAAATCATATTTTAGGCATAAAATGTTATCAGGTGAATTATATGAATTATATGAACAAACCCCTCTGTAAAAACCTTCAGTATATAGATAAAACTGTACATTTTGGTGTATGTAAATACTATCGAAGTAAAGAGAAAATTATTTTGAGAAAATGGCCTTTAAAGATATGCATTGTAGGTGAGATCTACAGATGCAAATGAATAAAATACACTGAAATGTGTATTTTTTATGTTTTTTTTCCACTAGTCTGAAAGAAAACACATTAAAGGCAAAATCTCAAAATTATGGAAGCCCATTTCCGCCACTAAATAAAAAATAAAACAAGGTAATTGTGACTTTTTATCTCACAATCCTCAGAATTGTGTGATATAAACTCGCAATTCTGACTTTATAACTCGCAATTCTGAGAAAAAGTCTCATAATTGCGAATGTACATCTCGCAATTCTGACTTTATAACTCACAATTGTGTGTTATAAAGTCAGAATTGCAAGATATAAACTCGCAATTCTGACTTTTTTTGTCGCAATTGCGAGTTTATATCTCGCAATTATGACTTTTTTTCTCTAAAAAGTCGCAATTACCTTGTTTTATTTTTTATTCAGTGGCGGAAACTGGCTTCCATACAAAATTAACCAATTCCTGGAGAAAAAAAGAAAAGAAAAAAGAACAATGCTTTTGCCGGTAGTGTCTTGCCTTAAGGTCTCTTTCTTCTCAAAGTAATAGCAAAATAATAATAATAAATATATATATATATATATATATATATATATATCTCTCTCTCAAGCGTAGCT